TCTTTTGTCATAGTCAAATTGTTAATTTCGTTTAATTGATGAAAAGAAAAGTTTCCATATTATTTTCATTCAATACATAAAGGCAGAAAAATTCAAACAACTTGGTTTCTCTCCCCATAGCCAACCAAACTGTATGTTTACCCCAGAGCACTGGTTTCAGTTTGCAGACGATGCTGCAGTCATTACAAACGGGGAGAAAGAAAACCAGCTACTCTTAAACTGCTTTACAAGATGGTGTCAATGGTCTAACATGATTATAAGAGTAGACAAATGCACAACCTTTGGTATTAAAAAATTCTCAACACGCTCCCTACAATATCAGCCAAAGCTCTTCATCAATAATGAAATGGTCCCTCCTGTCATAACTGGAGAGTCTTTTAAGTATCTTGGGCGTCATTTCAACTTCAATATGAGCAACCAAGAACATATGTCTAAGCTCAGCTCCATCTTCACAGAACTCCTAACGCAAATTGATTCTTTACCTCTCCATCCAAAAAATAAGCTGCTTCTTTATAACAGCTATCTTCTCTCACAAGTTTCGTGGCACCTCACAGTAGCCGATCTATCAAAAACCTGGATCGTCGAAAACCTTGATAATCAAGTTTCTGCATTTATCCGCCATTGGCTCGATTTACCCATAAGTGCTACTTTAAGTGGCATTATTTTGTCAAAAAACCAGTTCGGTCTTAACTTGATTCTTCCTTCTGTTAAATTCATGCAGTGGCAAACTGTTTGTCGTAATGCACTGAAATCCTCACCCAACAAAAACATCCAATCTTTGTGGAAAAATACCAGCCAGAGCATGAACATCCAATATGATGTTTACAGGAATACTAGAGAAGTATTGAAGGCTGTTAGATCAGAACATAAAGAGCGCCTTCAAAACCATCTTGTAACTCAAGGTACCGTTCTTTCCTTCATCTTTGACCACTCTCTTCCTATAGCCTCTAAAATATGGACCACGGTTCAAAGCAACATGCCCAAGAACATTTACAGTTTTACTATCAAATATCTTAGCAACTCCCTTGCTACGCGATAAAACCTATCTAAATGGAACATTACTCAGTCGTCCGAATGCTCTTTTTGCCATATGCCAGAAACGTTACTTCACATTGTTGCAGGCTGCAAAACATACCTCGAAGAAGGCCGTTTCACATGGCGCCATAACTCTGGATTGAACTTCCTAGCACAATCTTTAAAAGCTATACCTAATTGCTCTCTTTACGCAGACCTTTCAGGTTATCTCTCACCCTCTATCATAACAGGAGACTCTTTCCGTCCTGATCTACTTCTAGTCACTTCTGACCATCGGCTATTCATACTCGAGCTTACAGTAGGATACGAAACTAGCTTGGATGTTAATGCTAACCGCAAAAGAGAGAAATACTCGAATCTCATTCACAGCCTAAGCTCAGCCTATTCCTCTATCATGTTTGTTAATCTTTCTATCAGTTCCCTAGGTATCTTTGGTCTCTCCTGCTCCTCTTTCATTGACATGTGCATTGCTCTAGATATCCGCGAGAATCATCTCCGCTTCATGATCTCCAAACTATCCAACTTAACTATCCGTACTACCTATTACATTTTCTGCCGCAGAAATAAATCTTGGAATAATCCTGAACTTCTTCAATTCTAATGATCTCTACTACTGACGACTTCTAAAACAAGCAATGACGAACACACTTTTTCCTTTTTTTGTTAATTTCTTTTGTTTGTGCTTGTAATAGTCTTTTTTTTTTGTAAACCCAGGCTAGCCAATTGCAAATTACCTTTGTAATAGTGAAATTTGTAATTGTAGTTTTAATTGAATTGAAAATGAAAAGTTTCCACAATATTATTATTATTATTATTATTACAATAATTCGCCGAATGAAGTCTTCTGCTTCTCCTTGTCCCTTGGATAAGATCTCTATCATTGTCTTCAAACATTGTCCTTATTTACGTATTAAACTTACTGAAATTTTCCGTGTTATATGGCTTTCCGGAGTTATTCCAACTGAATGGAAACAGGCATGCACTATCTTAATCCACAAAAAGGATAGCACCGAAGATCCATCTTATTTCAGGCCCATAACACTTGAATCAGTTCCACTAAAAATATTTACTTCTTGCTTGCGTGACTTCATGTTTGATTTTCTTAAAATAAATGGCTATATTGAACATCAAATTCAAAAAGGCTTCACGTCTAACATATCTGGCACTCTTGAACATACTTCAATGATGGCTCACATTATCGACAAAGCACGTACAAAACAGCGCTCGCTGGTTGTCACTCTTCTTGATCTCAAAAATGCCTTTGGCGAAGTACATCATAATTTGATACCCACTATACTGTCTTATCATCATATCCCTGACAACATACAACTTCTTATCTCTAGCCTTTACACCGATTTTAAAACCTCTATCATCAAAAGCCACTATAATACTCCTAATATTCCAGTCCGTCGTGGTGTGCTTCAAGGCGATTTCAATACTTTTATACAGTACATAAAAGCTGAAAAATACAAACAGATAGGTTTTTCCCTACATGATCAAAACGACCGTATGTTTCAACCAGTCCATTGGTTTCAATTCGCAGACGATGCTGCTGTTATCACCAGCAATGAGAAAGAAAACCAACGTCTACTGAATTGTTTCACTCGCTGGTGCCAATGGGCTAACATGATCATACGTGTCGATAAATGCATCACTTTTGGAATAAAGAAATTTTCCACACGTTCTCTTCAGTATCAAGCTTTTTAAAAACAACAAATCTATCCCATCTGTCTCGAATGGAAACTTCGGTCGGTCGTCGAAACAAGTACCTCGGTCGTCATTTTGATTTTGAAATGACAAACCAAGAACATAAATCTGACCTTTTATCATCACTGTTCAACATGCTTAAACAAATCGATTCCCAGCCTCTTCATGCAAAAAAAGCTGCTTCTTTATCACAACTTTGTTCTTTCTAAAATCTTGTCAACCTCGTATCCAAATACATCCGCCAGTGGCTCGATCTCCCAATAAGTGCTACCTTGAGTAGCATTATTCTTTCTAAAAACCAGTTTGGAGTCAGCCTAACTTTACCATCCACCAAATTCCTACAGTGTCAAACAGTTTTACGCAATGCATTGAAATCTTCACCAAACGATAAAATTCGCTCTTTGTGGAAAAATACAAGCAGTAGCACAAATATACAGTATGATATACATAGGAACACCAAAGAAGCATTAAAGGCTGTCCAGCATGAGCATAAAGATCGTCTGCAAAACATCCTAACCTCCCAAGGATCTTTACTATCACATCTCTTTAACCAGAATCTTCCACAAATAAACAAACTTTGGTCCAAGGTGCAAAGTAGCATGCCTCAGAATATTTTCAATTTCACCATAAGGTCCCTGAACAATACCCTTGCCATACAGAAAAACCTGAAAAAATGGAACTTGAGCCAGACCTCTGACTGTTCTTTCTGTTTTCTGCCAGAAACCCTCCTTCACGTTGTTGCTGGCTGCAAAACATATCTGGAACAAGGCCGATACACCTGGCGACATAATTCTATCCTAAACTTTCTAGCTTCGTCACTAAAAGCTGTCAATGAATCTACCATCTACGCTGATATACCTGGCTTTCTTTCACCATCAATCATAACTGGAGAAAACCTTCGCCCTGATCTTCTCTTGAGGACTAACAACAATTACCTCTACATTTTAGAGCTAACTGTTGGCTTCGGATCCAATCTTAACACAAATGCTACAAAAAACACAGCAAGTATGCTCCTCTTTTATCTGGTTTACAGCGGCAGTTCAAATGTGTCTCCTTTGTTAATCTTTCTATGAGCTCTCTTGGCATCTTCGGCAATTCCTGCAATTCATTCCTCGAAATGTGTGACTCTCTCTCCATCGATCAGCAACAAAAACGGTATCTCATTTCTAAACTTTCCAACATTGCCATCCGTACTACGTACTACATATTTTGTTGCAAAAATAAGCCATGGACAAATCCGGAATTACATCCTTTTTAACTTTGGTTGTTTTTTTTCTCAGTTTTTCCTTTTACCTTACGATTGTTATAGTTTCTTCTTGTAAAACCAGGCTAGCCAATTGCAAATTACCTTGTAATAGTGAGATTTGTAATTGTAGTTTAAGTTGAATTGAAAATGAAATGTTTCCATTATTACTAATATTATTATTATCGTTATTATTATTATTATTATTTCAAAGGTAATTTTTATGCTTCAACACATTCATACAGTACATAAAAGCTGAAGAATACAAACAGTTAGGTTTCTCCCCACATGGTCAGAACGACCGTATGTTTCAACCAGTCCATTGGTTTCAATTTGCAGACGATGCTTGTTTGGCTGCTGCTAAATAAGCCCTCACCCTCCAATAGGCCCCCACCCTCCAATAAGCCCTCACCTTACAGTAATTCCCCACCACCTTCTTATAGGCACCCACTCTCCAATAAGCCCCCACCCAAAAATTGTTTGTTGTAAAAAGCCTCCAGAGGCTTAATTGAGGACTTAGGGTAACCGCACTTTTCCTTTGTAGATATCAGTTTCATGGAAATACCTTGTGCCACTGTGCTTCGGTGTTCATTGTGTACTTGTATGATACTTTTCTGATACTGACTGAAATGTCAAGAAAGATAATCTTTAAAGTTTTGTCAAATTGAAATTATTTCTGTAAAATCACAGCAAGTCATATATCTTGTTTTTATGTTCAGGTGCTGGCAGGGTCTTCTTGCATATGGCTGCCACAATTTTGTTGTTGTCTTAGACCCTAAAACTGTACAGGTAAATATCTATTATGTTCTCTAATTGGTTAATTCTGAGAATGATTCAAGAACTTATGATATGCCAAACTTGTTTAACCTTTAATCAATGGATTTACGTGGTGTACCATTTTGAAATTACATCAGTCGAGGAATACAATTAAATCTTTGGCAAAACAATTAAATCACAGTTGCTCTTGTCAAGTACTTTTACTCAATTACTGTGAAAATCTAGCACCTGTTTCAGATTTTATTTTTGGATGAGGTTTCAAGGATCAAAAGGGTTCCGTGACTTGCTAGTAAATTAGCAACATATATTGAGTTTCCATACGCTATGTGCTGGAGATGCCTAAGGCTAAAGTAACTAAAGAAACATCACAGATGGGCTGGCTACGTACTTGAATTTTTAATTAATAAACTTTAAGGATTTTGCCCTGGTAATAACCGTCTTCTGAAAATTTGTCTTATTATTATCACTTCATAAATAGATAAGGTGACTGAAAAAACAACAACAAACAATGTTTGAAATTATGTAATTGATCCTTAAAGGAGAACTGACACGCAAAAATAACTTTGGCTTATTCGATGCAAAATTTGTCGCTGATTTCAAATCTGGAAAAAGTTTTCTTCTTAGATTCGCCGTTTTTCTGATATTTGCACTTTTATCCGTCAAATACGTCACAGCCAGGACTCGGGAATTTCCCGAAGCGGAAACAAGATTATCGCCAGGAGTTGTTAAAATTCTCGGTTGACGTCACAAGTGACATGTTAACAATGCCGTTGTAAAGGCTTTCACCGCAACGGTGAAAGTACAAGTGAAATTTCGTGTTTTTTTGAAAAAAGTCCGCGGTGAAAAGACAAAAAATTGTCAGGCATTTCATTTATAAGTATATAGAGGCTAGAAAATCCTAGCTACATGTCTGCTAAGACGCTTATATCCACATAAAATTTATTTTCATGCCATGATATCTTCGAACCAGCATGCTTTGAAACATTGAAAGAACCTCTAAGCTTGTGAAAAAAGGAGTCGACTTTGTTTGAAAATTGATACCGTTTCTTCAAAGTTTTTATTTTTACAATTACAAAAAAATCGCAACATGGGGGGTGGGGGGAGGGGGTTGAAGCAGTAGCCAAAAGACAAACGAAATCTAGTGGAGACAGCGGTAAAAGCGATCCTGCAACCTGCTTTGGGTGCAGAAATATGAATTCAAGAAAAAACCTTGGTTGATGAGAGCTGCGAGTGTGACTAAATAATAATTTCACTGAACTTGATTATTGTATTTTAACAGAGGTTGAGATACTAGGGAATAACCTAGTCTTGCAAAAAGCCCATCCCCCACCCAAGTCAAAATTGCTTGCAAAAGAATATAATGCGCCAGTTGATATTCCTATGACAGCTAAACAGCATTTTCTTCGACTAAGAAATCAAGTTTTTGACTAAGAGCTAAGAGCCTATTTCGTAAATCCAGATCTTTCGACTGCCAGGTAACTTATCAGTTCCCGAAACCCTTCACGCCGGGTGAAAATGGCATAAAATCCGCACAAGTCGACTTTTAACCCGCCTTTACTATTCAATATCACTATACAGTTAACGCGTTCAAAACATTGAAAAACAATCATAGAATGTTATATTAACAATTAATAACTTGCAGTTCCGTTTAGGGCATCATGGGCATTTTAGCCAATTTAGGCCATACAGACAAAGCAGTCTGGCCAAAGACGCCTCAATCTGAAATAAAATTCTAGTTTTACGATACCTGATCTCATTTAGATTGTAGCAATAGCATTATTTTTAATAGAAATTCCATATCAGTTTGTACTTCCAGTCTGTTCTTTGTTTACAATATCGTCACTGTTGAGCCATGGGATGACTGTCTGCCCAAGCGGCAGTGCTGGTTGGTAGCAAAAACTCAGACGGCTGAAACTCTCCATTTGTTTCGAAATCAGTGTAATAAAACTCCGATTCAGAGTCCCAAACTATTGAAAAAGTCAATTATATGTCAAAAATGCAAAATTAGCTCCTTTCACATGCACAAAATAAACATTTGTCCGCAGCATTTTGTTAAAGGTTTCTATAGAGAAACACAATACGTGCTGAGAACATGTCACTTGTGACGTCAAAGATGATCGTCCACTCGTGACGATTTTCGCCTCGAGTCTCAAGTTGTCGGAACAATTGTCGTTTCTCAACTTAAAACGCCTGTATTTCAAAAACGGTAACTGTGATTTAAAAAATTTTTTCGATCCTGGAATTTGCTTGTCACAAACTACCGTTTTAGCCAAACTTATTTTTGCGTGTCAGTTCTCCTTTAAAGCATATGTCGATACCAAATCTAAAACATTATGCTCACCTGGGGATAATACATCCTCACAGTGCACTGTAGGTATAGCCATGCAATTTTGCTAGTTTTCTTCATCCAGATTGCTTGATCTTTTTCAGGTTATACAGACGTTCCACCATTACACTTCAGCTATAGTTAAGGTAATCTTTTGTCCATTATGCTTGTAATGTTCCTGGTTTCTTTCATTAATAAGTTTGTTTCAACTTGCCATTTATATTTTTTCATGGCTTGTACAGAGAGCTCCACTTAGATTCGATGCTGATAGTGTTAAACTTTCTTGTAATGAAAAGGTGCAAGACAAATGCTACCATCCATAGTGATAGCCAGTTCATTATTCGCTAGATTTGAATCCCTAAAAGATAACAGCTTCTTGGCACTTTACGACCTGTTTGATTTTTAACCACTATCTTTGATGTTTTTGACAATTGATTTTCATTTCCACTTCACAAACTAGTGAATTCTACATTTTTTCTGGGGCAGACACTTCAAATATTGGAGGGAAGGGGACACGTCTATTGTTTTACTAAGAAGACGTCACATTTTTTCATTGTTTTAGAAAAAAAGACCTTTGTCCTCAAAAGTATTGGACTGCCCCCCTTCCCCCCAGGTGTCTGCTACTGATTTTAGGATGTTTGAGTAGTATTTGTTTTTATCGTGTTGTTTACGATAATATTAAAGATGAAACCTTCTCAAAGTTGAGTAACAGCCGTCTGTATATGGTAGATACTGCCTGCTTAGAAATGCAGGTGTGAGGTCGCTTAATAACTGAAAATGCAAGCTATTTACACCGAAAAGGAATAATTAACTTAGAATAACACAACGCTTCCTAGAATTCTTTGAGCAATTGAAGTATTGAACATATTGTGTTATTACATAAATGTGATTACATGATGATTATTCGTAAACCTCGTCCACAAGTGTCTTGATATGCTTTCTAAGTATTCATTTTTTGGCAATTAAGTGAAAGTTAAAACTTCAAAGTGGAAGCCTATAAGGTGCAAGCAGTTAGGATGAAGATATTGTTATGACATATTTTTATGATGAGAAGAATAGAGAAGGATTGTAGGAGAACACCTTTTTTGGTTAAAAGAGTTGAAGTCGATAGGACCCTAGATGTCCGAAAATTGCTAGACCTCGATGCTTCATCATGCTTTAATATTTTTTTTTCCAGGTGAGATGGGCTCATGATAATAATAACCATGACCTTAATACACCATACAATATGAAACTGGCTGCTGCCGATCAAGCAGGGCATGTCATGGTATGGGATGTAGGTAATGGAAAGTTGCTGCAAGAGTTCTCAGAACCAGGTAATGAAATTAGGTAGCCAGTTATGGCATAGATTTACTGTTAATTGATTTATGCAAGTAGTTGAATCTCTTTGCGATTCAACCGTCACTCAAATGCTGACTGGCGATGCTAGCAGAGCTGTTGATAATTAATATAGCAAGTTGTTGGTTAATGTTTAATTTTTGTTTTTTTTAGGAAAGCCTGTCCACGAAATGCATTGGCTTAAAAACATTGACGCTCCAAACAGCCTACTTCTGGTCCTTCATGCTCCTGGACAGCTTGTGCTCTTTAATACAGAGACTAACGTACGATTATGGAGAAAGGCCTTCAGTGAGCCTCTTGTCTCTTTTGCACTTGATCCCTTTGACCCCCAAAGCATGGCTCGTAAGTATGCATTTTCTATCTTTGTGTCGCTGGTCGTTCTACTTATATCGATAAGAAATTTAATGAAATGTTTTTCTAGATTAATCTATGCTAGTTTTTTACTGTACACCTTCCAGTCCCATGTCAAGTGCTGGGAACTGGGGAACACAGACGATACATGCAAAGTCCTGCTCCATCCCCTCCTATTACTGGTAGCTCTTGCCTTTGGACGCCTTCACAGTGTCAACACTCCCAAGGCGCCACAATCTTTCTTTTAATTTCTACCCGTTTATTTCACTGATCTATAAAAAAGACTGGATCAAGCTTCCTATTGTCTTGAAACACCAAAGTTTGAAGCCCACTAAATTTCAAAAGGAAGAGGGCCCTCAAACAATAGCGAGAAGCCATTACTCAAAACCAATACTTCAACGATATGGATACGCGAGAGCTGCAATGCTTTGTGTATGATTGCTGAAAAAGAACAAGGCCAAAGCAGCTGAAAACATTGCAAGGGGTGACAGAGAAGGCCGTCTCCTCGCATGGGCTGTTCTGGGGCCCTCTTCTCGGATGGGGACACTCTGGTCACATTAGAAGCTCGATCCAGTCTT